GAAATCGTGAAACAGTTTGTTGAAACACTGAGAAACGACGAAATGTGATGTGAAAATTCATTGACATCTTTATATACTTATCATTCTATATATATATATATCTGTATATAATATCACCAAAAGATAATAATTTTGATGCTATTCTGTTTCAGTCAGTCTCTGTTATCTTTAAAAATTAAATAATCAGCAAAGCTATTCCCCTCGTTGAAATGTGGTGCTCATTATTTTTTTTGCTGTTTCCTGTTTCTTTGTTTCTCATTTTGTATTTTATGGACTTTATAAACAAATGTCATCAGATACTGTCAAATGGTCATCACAAAATCGGGTTGGGAGATATAACTGAGTTTCATTCACTCAACTTCAATGGAATTATTTTTTTTAATTGTTTGAGTAATCATGGTAATGTAACACTCTAACACGTTCTCACGGATTATCGGAAAATGAGATGACAGATCTAATAAACATGTGCTAAATTTACAATAAGCACAATGCTCCACCCCCAGCATTATCTAACACAAGAGGCTCCACCCCTTGCACTCTCTGACCCTCCATTTTGGAGTCATTGTGGAGACTCCATCCTCCGCATTTTACACCAAGCCCCAAAACAACATACATAATATGTATACACCACGAAAAATCTAGATTTCTCTTTATCCATTTTGTAAGCAGATTTGAACTGATACCATTATATATACATTTTTTGAATTAATACAAATACGATATAAAACATTAAAATTTATTGGTAATGTTCATATAAAAGATTCTAGATCTCGAAATTCTTTATTATATCTTTATCTGGTGTTGGAAATCTATATAACCTGGGATGTATTAACGTCAAGAAGTAACATGAGTAATAAATTAAGGAACATTCCAGTTGCAAGTTATCATTTGATTTTATTTGAAAATGGCATGTGGCGTCGAGCTGACCTTCTGATGCTTCATTTTCATTTAAGGTAGTAGACACATCAACAGATGGAACATATATTGTTAAGTATATCGGTCAGAAAATGGAATACTATACACAAGAGCAAGTCGCAATTCGACAGAGTTTGTCGCATGGATTATATATAATAGTACCATCCACCGAAAAAAATGGTCAAGAGCGACAATTTCTTCTGCGAGTTTTCAGCGAGGAAGCTCTGCATGATATAGGGTAGGTATTTAAGATGAATTTAAATGAGTAAACAACCGTCTTATCGTAAAAATCCTGTCCCCATTGTTTTATTTCTGTACCCTATTATCTCGGCCTATAAAAACTTCTACCTTGTATCCCCCACTAGGTATGGCATGTATATTTTATGCAATGTTTTATCTTGAATAAAAATGATTATAGCAAATTTATCTGAAAAATTCTAGGTCGCTTCCTGAGAGCAGACGGTTGGTGCTGTGTGGAGAGGAGGGGTTATACCAGGAAGATATTTAAAGCTAACATTTACACAAACCGAGTTTTTAGCGCCATATGCTTACTCTAATACACAGACATTTGAAAGTTACCTCATTAAATTGAAGAGCTACGAGCAAAAAGCTTCTAAAAGAATTTTTATTTACAGTGTACATTTTCGTAAAAAAAGTTAAGGTAAATGGTCACAGTCTCTTACTAAACGTATTTGTTTAAATAAATTGCGTATAAAAACACTTCATGAATGTCGTGAATCTATGGCCTGCTAATTTTATGGGTTAAACAATCTAGTACATAAATATATAAAAATGTCATCAGAAATGGACGACATGAAGATAATGTCACAGCTATCATTTCTAGGTAAAGCGGTTAAGATTATTATCTACAACCCATTTTAAAAAATTCTTGATCATACATTGTATATAGTATACCCCCATTATACCAGATTTGAGGGCATAACGTTTTGGCACGGTCTGTCCGCAAAAACTTTGATCCTTCCCATAGCTTTCGTCTTTGGATTGGTTGAAATTTCACGAACATGCTTAAGACCTTTTTTTGCGTGGCAACATATTTGACCTCTTGTCCTTGAGTTAAGACTTTTACCTACTTTTGCACGAAAATCTGGACATAAAATCTTATTTTCACAAATGTACCCGTAATTTTCGGGTCATAGGTCGATGGGGTATATAGGTCGAAAGGCTCATTTTCAGCCTTTATTTTTGAAAAATTCTAAGATAGGACGAACTTACTATATAGGACGAGGCTTTGTTTCCCGTTTTCTAAAGATTCTTACGCAGATACAACGTATCAGAACAGGTAAACCTCTAGAATTACCGGGGTTATTCCGTGACATGAACGTATCAAGAAAACAAACAGGTATTTTAATGAGTACAGCATTTAAATAAATTTTTTTTAAAAATGTAGTTAAAACTTCGTTGAATTGTGTTACTACTTATTTTTCTCCAACTTGCCTGTTCAATGCCTCCGTAGTTTCATACTGTTGTTAAACCAGAGGCATAAATAACACGTAAATACGTTCTTATTTTACAGCTATAATTCGGGAAATACCCGAGAACAAAGAATAATCAGTCTGATTTCAGAACAACTTGGACACATTCCTAATATATTTTATTCAGACATTATTTACCGGTGGACGACAATCGCTTCGATGTCCGCCATTTTCAGTTTTGTTCTTCGGGGATTTGCTAAAACCCGCAAACGACCATTGAATGTATATATAAAACAACAGTAAAGAATTGAATAATATTACCACGCTATAAGTTTAATTATATATTTAATTGAGAGTACCGGTACATTCACAATTTGACCGTCATTATGAATTTCATGGCTTTGTTTGTTCAATTGTGTAACACTAATACCCTATAACGGCACGTGGATTTGCTAATCATGCCCTGCGGGTATTAAACCAACACAGGTGATATAACCTTTGCGTGTACACACAGTGTAAATCCTTTTATCTGTGAGACAATTAAAATTCTGTTAGAAGCCAATCTTTGTATAGCGCTAATTCGTTTGACCGGTATTATAATTAAATAAAATAAAAAAATATATAGTAATGACTATCGGTTTATTTGGTAATTAAATTTAGGAATTGACTGGCAAATATTTATTTCACTCATTTTACACTTAAATAAATATAAGACTGTCACAATAAATAAAATTAATACTATTTCAATTTATCTACTAATAAATGGTAAAACCTTGAAATTTTTTCCGTATTTTAAATTTTGATACGGTTGGGGTTTTACTTTTAGTAAACGGTAGCGACTTCCTAACTTCACAAGATGGCTACCGCATGATGGCAATGGATAACACGCTGAGGAATTATTTTTTTTTTGATGAAGCACAGTTTTTTCCTTTGTCATCAACGGATATGTAATGGAATTTGTTTTGTAAGAAAGCTATAGAATAAATATTTTATTGTTTACCTGGGCATTAATTTTTCTGCGTAAAATAATGAAAAAAGTTATGAAAGTGGCACAGATTTGCTTTGAAATTGACGTAAATTTTATTGATTTTGGGGCATTTTTCGTAAACTTGAGCCTTAGAAAGGTCGAAATCGTATATTGGTCGACCTCAGCGGCTCTGAGAAAAAAAGTACCGACCTATAATCCGAAAATTACGGTATTTTATTATGACAAAAACTTGTTCAACGTTCCATAAATGTTGTCTTTTTAACCATGACCTTGGAATTTGACCTACTATTAAAAAAGTTTAACCTTTGCCATAACTTTTCAATCCTTTGTGCTAGGACATATATATAAATGTATATATATATATTTCAGAGGTTTATTTAAACAATAAAATGCTTTCTTTGTTTGTTATTACTGGAATTAACGGAAGCAGCTGTTGCAGAAAAAATACATAACCCGCGTAAGCGGTTTATGTAAATTTTTTCTGCAATAGCTGCGACCGTTAATTCCAATAACAACAAACAAAGACATTTTATTGTTTATATTTATATCTGTTTAAATAACAATTTAAAGTTAGTAGGGTTAAAAAAGATTAATTATTGTATTAGTGATGCGAACGTCTTTATACGTTTCATTGATGGAACAGCCACTGATCAAGAAATCTGTACAGGCGACATGCCGACTGTAGTTCATGCAGTGATTAACGCAATGGGTTTTCTTAAGAAATAAAGGAGAAAATTCAGCGGAAGTAAATATATTCCTAGCAAAACAACCTAAAGAGATATAGCCTTAGGGATTTTTTTTTTTGTTTATTAAGATCATTATTGACTTGGTGTCAAGAAATAAGGATAGAAGCTTGTTGGCTTTGGTCACAAACCCCAAATTTTATGAAAGCAGGATCTATGAAATTCACCAACTTGATTTAAATACATGTACAAAAAGAGTTTAATTAATAAAAACAAATAAAGAACCCAGATGATATACAGCATAACAATTCCTTTCCTTAAATAATTAGGTGGAAATGTCAAAAACTGTATGAGCATTTGCTGTGCAGTGGAACAAAATCAAAGGGAGCATACCACCTGAGTGACTCAGGTAACCTGACAAGCAATATTCATTTTACACATATTTGTGTGACTGAACATATAAACAATGGCAAGAGAGGAAATTTGTATGTTATTTAACATCCCTTCCGGGAATTTTTCAATCATGTGGAGATGCCACCCTTTGCCAGTGGAGAGCTCAGCTGCAAATTTTGACCAGTATCTGGCACTCAGGGCCATTGAGCAGTGAGATATCTTGTTCCTGCCTGCATCCTCTGCAACATGGAACCCTGATTTATACAGTCTCATCTGAAGTACCATTATCCACATCAAACAGTGGGATTCAAACCAGCAACTTGAGAATCAACTCCTTACTCTGCAACTGTAAAGATGACGCTCCTATCACTGTGCCACTTGGATGACTCATTTGTTTGTAAATAAGGAAGAAGTACATGTATTCTATTAACCTTCTTTATTCATAACAATCTTTATTTAAATATTATTGAGCTTTTTCTTGTATATCAATTAAAATGAATGTGCATTTAATTGGTTTTATTCAAGTGTATAATGTGCTTATGTCTCTTTATTATAGTGCTTTATCAAAGGTTTTCTGCATTATCAACTGTCATTTTCATAATACCGCTTTTTCAAAGTTCTGTATTTCCTAAGCATGTACAATGCTTCCAACTCTTTTATCACAAATTCTCCTCTAAAAATCAGCATTTTGATCTCCTCCTCGTCTTTTACATCTTTGTTCTTGAGAAAAGCTGCTTTACACCTATCTCGGAAATAAGGGTAGCCTTTCGGATATTCTTTTCCCAAGTGCAACAGCTGAAATTCAAATACAAAAAACATATCTCATTATCACTTCTTGTTGGAAGAATTTAAGTACAATGTTATGATTTAAGATATCCAAGTCTAGATAATTCAGTACATGTTGGAGTAATTTTAAAAACAAACAAACGTTACTGTACTTCAAGAACAAATCATGCTCAATTATGCAGAATATGAGAGGTGTGTCTATTAAAATAATTATGGATTATTTAAAAACTGACTTAATTAAGTTGTTAGACTTGATCTACATGAATATTTTATTTCAAAAAAAAAAATTAAGCTAGAGATCGTTTTAACTAGTCAAACTTTCAATAACCTTAAATCATCTTACGAAAATTAATTTTCAGTTGCTGTTCATTATATATGCTCTGAAAGGATAAAGCTATCCAAGATACAAATTGCACTTTATTAAAGTTAGATTAAGTTTAATGACTAATGTTCAATACAGTCCACCCTAGAGTAAAAATGTCAGTTGAGAAATCCACAAATTCAAAATCAAGATTTTGTTAGATTGAACAGAACAATTTTTAAAGGGTTTATAAATATTTACATATTGTGAAAACATTAGCTATTTCAACCAATGTGCATAAAATCAAGGAACAAATCTGCTTTTGTATTTGGTATGCATTTTCAGACAATTCGTGTTTTGAATATAGATCATTTTTGTAAGTATACTCACATTCTTATACAATTCAATTACTTGAGTCCTTAGTTTAGGGTTAGACATTGTGCTTGGATTGCTGTCATACCATAATCAATGCTGTAAAATAAGCAAAGTAGGACATCTGTGTTTCATTAAGTGAAATGAATACAGGAATTTTGATTTCTGAGACTAAGTGTCTCCTATCAGCAAGAGTTATATTGTCCATTTCTCTTAACTGAAAATCTGAAATTTCATTAAAAAATCATCAAAGTGCAACAACAAAATGCAAACTCACATACCAAAAAACTATAGAACATGTGATCATGCCCAAGTCATCTTGAGAAGATCTTAAACATTTTTGCCCCCGTGCCATTACATTTCTGCATAATTTTAAGAATTTGACCCCACTCTACCCCTAGGGGACATGACTTGGTAAGAAAAAAACTGCCTTACTTTGAGAGCTTGAATATATTTTACAAAATGAAGTCTCACTGTTTTTGAGAATTTGAATATTCCTATGTAAAACTTTGATCTCCTATTGTGAACCTTGAGTCTATGCTACATTTGTAAGCTTTCACACCACACAAGTTCCATATTCTCTAGACCAGATGAGATTATCAGTGGTTCTAGAGAAGATTTTAAAATGAGCTTACCCAATTTTTAAATTTTTAAAAATTATCTTCAATGTCCTTCATTTGTTTCACTATACCCAAGATTTTATTGTGCTAAATTTAATATCAATATTGGTCGAGTGGAGAAGAATATGAACATGTTTTACTGTACTACTGTAGAAGGACTTTAAAGCATGTACCGGTGTAGGACAACGATTAAGGTAAGTTTAAAATGTCAATTATGAGAGATGAGCTCCAAATGGAAGAAATTGTATTCATTTTCTGTTGTCAGATTAAACACAACTGACAAATGCATCAACATTTAGGAAAATCATAACTGTAGGGGAGAGAATCATGATAATGATGGATTGTATGTTGTTTAACATCCCTCTCAAGGATTTTTCACTTATATGGAGACATCATGATAATGAAATAATGATAACGTTTCTATAGTGATATATATATTACCGATTGGGAAAAAAACAGTTATTGTTTTAAATCTTGTACAGTATATCTATGAAATGCAATTGATTTAAATTGTGTAATTTACAGGAAAGTCCTACATGTATCTTTGTATAAAGTAACAAAACAAATAAAAAACATCATTTTAATTTTAGTTAGTCTGAACTTACAAAAAATAGGTCCAGCACAATACCCCGATAAAGGTACATGTATATAGCTTGATAAAGCTATATAGCTTTATCAAGGTATTTAAAATACCTTGATCAAGATATTATAAGTATTGAAAATTCAAAAAAATTCTTTAAAAATTGATAATTGAAAGTTGAGTTCTGAGTTGTTGTCAGTAAATTCACCCTTGCATGTAAAGTACTCAAACACAATGAAATCAGTAGAAAAACATGTCGTGTGAGGAGACGTTATTTTATGCTTTCTTTTTGATACCAGAGTGTTTTTTATGCATGAGTAGACACACTGACACAAACTCAGAACTCGACTTTCAGTATTTAATTTTTAAAGAATTTTTTTGAATTTTCATTACATAAAATACCTTGATCAAGGTATTTTAAATACCTTGATAAAGCTATTTAGCTTTATCAAGCTATATACCTTTATCGGGGTATTGTGCTGGACCTGAAAAATACGCCATGTATGATTTTTGAACAATCCGGAACACAAGCCCTTATGCAATACAGGCTGTTCAAAAGGCATAATAACGCCTTTTAAAAGGCATATACTCATGCCTTTTCGAAAGGCTTAATAACGCCTTCTATGTAAATTGATCTTAATACACAGATACATGTAGGCGTTCGTACTTACGCAGTAACTTATTGCATAATCATATAAATATACATGTCATTTACGTCATTCCTTTTCGCAATTTGTATCAAAAGACCTTTGTGATATTTGCACTAACATATTGCACTGTAAATTACTTACACTGTCACTGGCAAGGTAGGCTAGTTCAGTAGTTCACTAGACTAGTTGTTCTGTTGGTCCCTTTACCGTTTGTTG